TATAAAGCCAGGTTGTAGAAATCAACAATCCACTTGCATTTGACGTCATTCTGATTAAAAGCATACAAACATCTTTGAACATTTAAGACAGACAAACATATAAGACAAGACAGACAAACATATAAGACAATTTTAACAAGTGCACTCAGATGGTTTTGGCCAATTGAATTATAAATTCTTTTTGTTATGACTAGTCAAAATTTTTGCAGATCAAAATTAACAGAGATCTCTTGTAGAATTAGGGTTAAAGGAATGAGTACTCTTCTTGACTATTATCCATTATGTAGAGAATTCTGAAAGAGCGTACACAACATGAGCCTCTATTGATATTTTCCATTTGGCCAATTTATCTAACTAAAAAATATAGGAAAACAAGTCAATACAGCTAGTCCCCCATATAACAGATAAAATACTATCACCCAAAAAACACAATTAGATTGGGAATAATTATCTTTCTTATGCATACACTAAAAAGCCCTATACCCCAACAAATCCCTAAAACAATAACCAATATGAGAAAAAACAAGTCAAGAGGAGATTGGGTAACTAAAGCTGAGCAATAGCCCATGGAAAGGCAGGAAGAATTAGCTCTTAGGGGGAGTCTTCACAATCTTTATCTTCAAGGGATTAACAGAGTCTGTAACAACATCCCACGAAATAACACCAGAGGGTTGTCTTTGGTCCTTTTCACGGCTTGTGTTAATCTGTTTGATAAAATGCTCCGGGATCCACCACGGTTGATCAGCATCCTGTGGAAAAACACAAGCAAAACCCCTTCCCCAAAGAACTGCGCAGCAGACCGCAATCCAATCACTTGGTGTTAGCCAGGATCCAGTAATGGAGTCCAGGATAGCACAAGTGAAGGGAGCTGCAGTGCCATACTGATTTACAGCAGTCTTTAATTCTTTCACCAATTTAAACTCAAGAGGGCGATGTTCTCTAATTGGCCCTTGGAGTCCCTGTACTTGAACGACGGGGAATAGTCTAAAGACTTCCTCCCCTTGTGCTGCGGCGTGTTTGAGAGCCTCTTATAAAGGAGATGCTATGCCTTGAGACCCTTCAGATGTTATGGAGTCTTTACCATTGGGCTCATTGGTAGGCCTGGCCTCTGAGGCACGAAGAGACGCAAGTCTGCTCGAGAGGCATGAAATCTGCTGCCTCAGCTGAAGTTCCTCACTGAGCTCCTGATTAATAGTACGTAACTGAGCCAGGTTTGCCTCCCTCTGAGTGGGAGGCGGCGCAGAAGGCAGCGGATGCTCAAGTGTTTTTTGAAAGATCTCAAGACTAGGATATAGCGCTGCGGGAGGTCCTCCGGAATCTGGAGGCTTGGGGGGCTCAAGTGAAAGAGGACATTCTCTAGAGTCTTTTTCTGGACCAGATTCAGGGGGCTCTGAAGTCTGAGAGCGCTCCTCTCTAATTTGTTCTAACCCTTCATGCACCTCGTCTAAGGCTTCCAAGATTTCCTTTTTGGTTGGGGTCCTGAGAGCTGTGTTTAACAAAGCCCAATAAAAAGGAGTACCTTCTGGAAAACGATCGGGCTCAGCCACAAGGGCTTTATTCAGCCGTTTTCCAACTGTCTCCCATACTTCAGCGTTTATTTCTGCCTCATCACATAGCCATGGACAAACTGTGTCCAGACTTAACAAAGTGATAATTTCTGGATTCTGATTGTCCCATAATTAACAATTTCTAACTTATAAAATCTTTCTAACTTATAAAATCTTCCCATGGACTGGACACCCTCTACCTTCTTTCACTTTTTCTTTCGCGAAGTGAGTGGTAGACTTACTGCGAGGATCAGGCGCAGCGGTCAGTCCTCCGGAGCACCGTCGCTGCCTTTGACCTGGGTCCAGGATTACATATCCTCATCAACTTTCAGGTCCCTGTTCGGGCGCCACTTGTCACGAGCCGCAACATCAGGATCCTGCCCGCAGGTCCTAAACCTGAAAGGACGAGGACAGAGAGACAGGAGGCACTTTTCTTCATGGTCCTTGGGCGCCACTTGTCACGAGCCGCAACATCAGGATCCTGCCCGCAGGTCCTAAACCTGAAAGGACGAGGACAGAGAGACAGGAGGCACTTTTCTTCTCATGGTCCTTGCTTTATTACCGAACCTCTCCTTTTATACTCTCCAGCTGTGCGGCTGCAAGAGAGTACCGCCCACACATTCTGGAAGGAAACCATTAAACAGATCAGACCACCAGTAAACCGTTACATTTGCTAGGACCACCAGTTGAACTAGCCCGTTGCTATGGGCGATGGCACGTCCACACTGCTCGGGTGAATCACAGGTCAATATGGCTGTGCTCATGTTGTGTTCCTTTACAATGCTCTCCATACTGGGATATTTATAGGGCAGGCAACGGAAGATCCTTCCTTGGGAGAAGCGGTCTTTGTTATCCTATCGCAAGCCAGGTTGTCTTTTGAATTTTGCGCTTTATAATTTCGGCGGGATAAAGGACTCAGAGTCAGGAAAGAACCCGGAAATAAGATATAAAATGGCTGGGGGGGTTTATATTTTAACATGTGTGATCTCCTAACACCACGACTGTCAATAACTCCATTTTACCACTGAGAAGGTTTAACTCACTTAAGCCCACCCAGGAAAGGTCTGTCTCTATTCTCTCTTTACAGAAAGGAGGGTACAATTTACCAAAATACAGTGAACTTTTCTCCATTCGCTCTGTTTTCTCCATTTTGGCTCAGACCAAAAGATATGTGCAGCCCACACAGAAGCAAAGGATTAGTGTGTACAACACACCTAAATGGATCTCAACTTCACAGTGAAAGAACAAACCAACCAATCTGATAAGTAGACAAAGAACTGGCATCTTAGGAGGACAAAGATCAAAGGACAATGAATACATGACAATATGCTCGGCCTTGGAAATCAGGAAATTCAGGCTTCACCAACAGAAGACACTTCTTGGTGACAGCTGTCTTTGCTAATCCCCTCCTGTGGCGGTCCAGCCATCACAACACGAACATGCCCGAGTCGGGGAGTGAGGATTGAGAAAAGAACACTCAAGCCTGAGCAGAGACAAAGAGAAGTCTGATTTATTTCACAGAAAGAGCTCCTTTTATAAGTTCACAGCAACAGGAAGCTTTTAAGGGCACACAACAACCAAAAACACCAAGTCATTGTTTTTCAAAGACCGGATTTCCTGACTCTTACAGATAACATCAGATCTTCAGCTAACGAGCTTCCTGTTATGTCAGGGTGAAAGAGTCAAGACAAGCTGAACAAACAGTTTCCTTGAAGAGTAGCAAATGTTGATGCCTTAATTATACAAGAAGAAGTTATTTTCCAAATGTCAAACTCCAGTGGGCCATGACTGGGCCCCGACACCCTCCCATCCCTGCATCCTCCTTGCTGTTTATCCACATGCATCATTAGAATGTTCAGTAGCATAGATCGTTGGCTCCCTTGTCCCCTCTCCCACATTTACCCACTAAAGCCCCAGTTGGGCACCATCCTTCCCCAAGAAGCTCTATGTAGAAGTAGAAAGGACTCCCAACCTGTGAGGTATCAAGTGTGCTGAATTCATGGTCCCACTATTGCAGATAGGTAAGTCAACTAGATATCTTGTAGGCAGTTAGAAAGGGCCAGACCATCAGGAGCCAACACAAAGGACAGTCAAGGAGTCAACGTGGAGCACAACCAAGACGCATTCACTGAAGGCCAGCATTGTAAGAGAGAAACTGCCACACTCAGGTAGGATGAGTAGCGCTGGTTGATATTCTAAATAGGTATCAATCACCTGGGTGGGGAACAGATCTTCCAAGAAAGATCCCTGACCCACCCCTTACCACTGAAAAGTCTTGCTCAGTTCCTTGTACGCTTGCTGTGTAACATGTTTCCCCATTGGATTACCATTTAATCAATATTACCTGGGTGATGGTACTTGTAATCTTATTGCTTTGTCATGGTTTTTGCCAGGCATTAAGCGCCAGCATGTGTTAGGAAAAGTATTAAGAAGCTCTAAGAGCCCAACCCCTAGCAGAGTCAGCTAACCATGACAAGTCAAAAGGTCGCTTTAAACATTCCTGAGAGGCAGGAACCAAGATAAATGTCTGATGCGGAACAGACCCTACCCTTTTGAACAATCCATGGTCCCACTTCCCCGAAGTCCCCACCCTTTGTAACTGAATGTTCCCCTAATTGACCCCTTTCTCGGAATTCCCCCTACCCTATAGCTTGTGTTTTTTTCCTTTAAAAACTGTGTCTCTACCCTTCTTCCGGGCTCAGCTCCTCTGCCCCTGCGAGGGTTATGAGCTGAGCCCCAGCGCGCTGGAATAAAGACCTCTTGTGTTTTGCATCAAGAATCGTCTCTCCGGGGTGTTTATGGTGCATCTTGGCGTCCTGGACTTAGAGTGGTGGGATTCCTCCCTGGGAGGATCTTACATTTGGGAGCTCGTCCGGGATTAGTGATTGCTCCTCACTCCTGAGAACGACCTTGGAGGTAAGAGGGTGTGGAGAAGCATAGATCCGCCCCTCCGCCATTTTATGATATAGCCTATGAAGCCATTTTGTATTAGGTTTAGTTTTCCTGTAGATCACATGATATGTTCCCGTGGGTGTTTGTTGTATCCTTATAAGGTAATAATCTGTTCTCTGTATGCTGATTGGTTGCATTATGGTATATATGTTGCCACCCCTTCTGGGCGCAGAGAGAGTGGGGTAGAGATCCGGAGATGAGGAACTAAAGTAAACTCCTTGTGTATCAAGTGTGTGCCTCTTTGCTCACGCGTCGCCAGTTCAGGCCCCTGTAGTCGTAGACCAAGTTGCCCAAGGCAATCCGGCTCACGACAGAGAGGATCCCCGCTTTGAATGTTGTCTGTCTGTATTCCGTATAGTGCACTTTCGGTTTCGCAGTCCTCCGGAGGACTGTCTGACAGTGGCCGGTAGACGTGCCCGGAGGGCCACAGGCTGCAACCTGGGAGACGTCCCAGGTACGGGGATTTTTGGAGACGTCTGAATCTCCCCTCGGGGTTCTGAATCTGAGATTAATTCGGTATCTGTGTGTATGTTATTTGTGGAATCTTGTCTTGTTTTTTAATTATGGGACAGATTGTGACCACACCTTTGGACTTGACCTTGAAGCATTGGACTGAAGTTAGGGCCAGAAGTAGAGACTTATCTGTACTAATAAAGAAAAGACCCTGGCAGACTTATTGTGCCTCTGAGTGGCCATCTTTAGGTGTAGGCTGGCCATCAGGGGGCACTTTTGATGCAGGAATAATATTGCTCGTTAAAGATATTGTTTTCCAGGCTGGACCTGGAAGACATCCTGACCAGCAACCCTACATTGTGGTCTGGCAAGACCTCGTCCTGAACCCCCCACCTTGGGTAAAACCTTGGGTACATCGGCCGACGAATTGGCCTGTCACTCAAGTTTTCTCTCTAAAGGAGGCCCCATCATACAAAGATGAAAGGGCTTCGGGAATCCAGCCTCACCCATGGATATACCCAGAGATTGAGGGGCCCCCGACCTGGTCGGAACCCTTTCCTCCCCCTTATCCACAAGCCCCTGCCCCTCCCGAGCCTATTGCAGAGCCCTCAGCGCCTTCCGGGGAGATTCACGGACCTGCTTCGGTCAGAGAGCAGTTTCCCCTGGGGCACCTGATTCCACAGTAGCCCTCCCCCTGAGAGCTTATGGGCCACCTCCCCCTGAGGGTCCTAATGTTCAACTTGCGGCTCTGCAGCCGCTTCAGTATTGGCCATTCTCCTCCTCTGACCTGTATAACTGGAAGACTAACCACTCTTCCTTTTCTGAGGACCCACAGAGACTGATGGGTCTTGTGGAGTCCCTTATGTTTTCTCATCAGCCCACCTGAGATGATTGCCAACAGCTATTGCAGATGCTGTTTACCACTGAGGAATGAGAGCGCATTCTTTTAGAGAGCAGAAAGAATGTTCCTGGGGCTGATGGGAGACCCACCCTGATGCCCAACCTCATTGATGATGCTTTCCCCTTGGGCTGACCAGATTGGGATTACAACACCGCCGAAGGTAGGGAGTGACTGAAAGTCTATCGCCAGACTCTAGTGGCGGGTCTCAAGGGAGCGGCGAGACGCCCAACCAATTTGGCCAAGGTAAGAGAGATTACTCAAGGGGAGATGGAACCGCCTTCAGTATTCCTGGAAAGACTAATGGTCACTTTCCAGCGGTATACCCCTTTTGACCCAGAATCGGAGGGACAGAGAGCTTCCGTAGCCATGGCTTTCATAGGACAATCAGCTCCGGATATTAGAAAGAAGCTTCAGCGAATTGAGGGATTACAAGATTATACTATACGAGATCTAGTAAAGGAAGCCAACAAGGTGTATCATAAGAGAGAGAGAAAGAAAGAAAGAGAACAGCAGAGAGAAAAGGAAAGAGAGGAACGAGAGAAGGAAAGAGACAGAAGGAAGGAAAAGGACTTAGCTAGGATCTTGGCTGCAGTCGTTAGGGAAAAAAATTATAAGGGTCGAGAAAATAAACCAAGGCAGACAGGGTACCTGGGCAACAGAAGACCACTAGACAAAGATCAATGTGCGTATTGCAAGGAAAATGGACATTGGGCTAGAGAATGCCCTAAGAAAAAGGGAGGACCTCCTAAGATACTGGCCCTGGGAGAGGAAAACAGCTAGAGGGGATGGGGCTTGGAGCCCCTCCCCGAGCCCAGGGTAACCCTAACTGTGGAGGGGCAACCTGTGGAGTTACTAGTTGACACTGGGGCACAACACTCTGTTTTATTGCACCCCTTGGGAGATATAAAAGAAGAGAAATCCTGGGTAATAGGAGCTACAGGGCATCAACAATATTCATGGACTACTAAAAGAAAAATAGACTTAGGAATAGGCCGAGTGACTCATTCCTTTCTGGTGATCCCCGAGTGCCCAGCCCCTTTGCTTGGGCAAGATCTGCTCACCAAGATGGGGGCCCAAATCACTTTCTCCCCTGAGGGCCCCAAATTAGAAGCTAAGGGGCCTGTTACTCTTCTAACCCTATGGCTGGAGGACGAACATCGGCTTTATGAGGTGCCACCTTCACCAGAGACTAACATAGAGCATTGGCTATCAAAATTTCCCTGGGCATGGGCTGAAACTGCAGGGATGGGACTAGCCCTCCAAGCTCCACCAATCCTGATAGAATTAAAGGCAAACTCTGAACCCATCGCAGTCCGGCAATATCCTATGAGCCTTGAGGCCCAACGGGGGATCCAGGCCCCACATCCAGCGCCTCTTAGAATTAAGAATTTTGATGCCCTGTCGTTCAGCATGGAATACCCCTCTCCTACCAGTCCAGAAGCCAGGCACAAAAGACTTTCGCCCTGTACAAGATCTTAGGGAAGTTAATAAGCGAGTGCAAGACATTCACCCTACCATGCCTAATCCTTATAACCTATTAAGTTCTCTCCCCCGTGACCGAATCTGGTACACTGTTTTAGACCTTAAAGATGCTTTCTTCTGCCTAAGATTACATCCTGCCAGTCAACCTGTTTTCGCCTTTGAGTGGAGGGACCCAGAGAATGGTCAAGCGGGACAATTGACCTGGACACAGTTACCCCAAGGATTCAAAAATTCGCCTACTCTATTTGATGAGGCCTTGCACTGAGATCTTGCACCTTTCCACACCGACAACCCCCAGGTAACTCTCCTCCAATATGTAGATGATCTGCCCCTGGCCGGAGCCACAGAAGAAGACTGTCTATTGGGAACTGAAAACTTGCTGACTGAATTGGCATGTCTAGGATACCGAGCCTCAGCAAAGAAAGCACAGCTCTGTAAAAGAGAGGTAACCTACCTGGGATATAATTTAAGAAATGGACAATGCAGGCTGACAGAGGCCAGAAAGAGAACTGTGACCCAGATTCCTGTCCCAAAAACTCCGCGGGAAGTCAGAGAATTTTGGGGTACTGCGGGGTTCTGTCAGTTATGGATTCCTGGTTTCGCCAATTTAGCAGTCCCCCTTTACCCTCTGACTAAGGAAGGTGCCCCCTTTACTTGGGGACCCCAACAACAAGAATCCTTTGACAACATCAAGCAGGCCTTGTTGTCTGCTCCAGCTCTCAGTCTACCTGATCTAACTAAGCCTTTTGCCCTGTTTGTCGATGAGAAAAGGGGAATCGCAAAAGGAGTGTTAACCCAAACTTTGGGACCTTGGAAAAGGCCAGTGGCCTTCCTGTCAAAGAAACTGGACCCAGTAGCACAGGGGCGGCCTGTCTGCTTAAAATCAATAGCTGCCATTGCCACCTTGGTGAAAGATGCTGATAAACTAACTATGGGACAACAATTAACTGTCATAGCTCCCCATGCCTTAGAGAGCATTATCCGACAGCCTCCAGACAGATGGCTGTCAAATGCCCGGATGGTTCATTGTCAGACTCTGTTGCTGAATGAAAGAATCCAGTTTGCTCCTCCAGCTATTCTCAATCCCGCTACCCTGCTGCCTGATGTCACCAAGGAACAGGTGATACATCAATGCCACGAGATTTTGGCTGAAGAGGCTGGGTCCAGGAAAGAGTTGACTGACCAGCCCTGGCCTGGAGCTCTCACATGGCTCACTGATGGAATCATCTACATCGTGGAAGGATGGGTAGAGGCCTACCCCACGAAAACAGAAACTGCTACTATTGTGACAAAGAAGATACTCGAAGAGATCTTCCCAAGGTTTGGCATCCCTAAGGTAATCGGTTCAGACAATGGGCCAGCATTTGTTGCCCAGGTAAGTCAGGGACTAGCCAAGGTCCTGGGGTTTAATTGGAAATTGCACTGTGCTTATAGACCCCAAAGTTCAGGTCAAGTAGAGAGGATGAATAGATCATTAAAAGAGACCTTGACCAAATTGTCCTTAGAGACTGGCATTATAGACTGGACGGTCCTCCTACCCCTTGCTTTGCTCCAAGTATGGAATACTCCGGGAAAATTTGGTTTAACCCCTTTTGAATTGATTTATGGAGCCCCTCCTCCTGTAATAGGAGTTGGTAACTTGACAGATCCAAATGTTGTCTCTTCTAAACCTCTTTATGGTAGATTAAAAGCCCTTGAAACTGTCCAACATGAAGTGTGGAAACACCTGAGAGAAGCTTATGCTCCAGGAGACCTCCAAGTTCCTCATCATTTTCAAGTCGGGGACTCCGTCTACATCCGCTGTCACCGGGTAGGCAACCTAGAGCCTCGTTGGAAGGGACCTTTCCCGGTATTGCTGACCACTCCCACCGCCGTCAAAGTCGATGGAATATCAGTTTGGACCCATGCTTCCCACGTCAAACCGGCCCCCTCCCACCGGCCCCAGAATGGAGACTGGAAAAGACTTCTAACCCCTTCAAGTTTAAGGTTGTACGGACTCCTGACTCTAATCCACCCCCTTCTGAGTAGTTCCCCAAATCCCCTTGGACCACCACTTTGGTGTCCACCTTATTGGGACCCCTTATTATCCTTTTATTACTTCTAACCGTGGGGCCCTGTGTTCTGAATAGATTAGTAGCCTTCATCAGAGAAAGAGTCAATGCAGTACAAATACTAATGTTAAGACAACAATACCAGCCTCTAAGAACCCAAGTCTTAGGTATGGGACATGAAGAAACTAGACATTAAGGGTTCTAAGATTAGAACATGTGCAAAAAGAAAAAGGGAGGATTGTTAGGAAAAGTATTAAGAAGCTCTAAGAGCCCAGCCCCTAGCAGAGTCAGCTAACCATGACAGGTCAAAAGGTCACTTTAAACATTCCTGAGAGGCAGGAACCAAGATAAACGTCTGGTGCAGAATAGACCCTACCCCTTTGAACAATCCATGGTCCCACTTCCCCGAAGTCCCCACCCTTTGTAACTGAATGTTCCCGTAATTGACCCCTTTCTCGGAATTCCCCCTACCCTATAGCTTGTGGTTTTTTCCTTTAAAAACTGTGTCTCTACCCTTCTTCCGGGCTCAGCTCCTCTGCCCCTGCGAGGGTTATGAGCTGAGCCCCAGCGCGCTGGAATAAAGACCTCTTGTGTTTTGCATCAAGAATCGTCTCTCTCCGGGGTGTTTATGGTGCATCGTGGTGTCCCGGACTTAGAGTGGTGGGATTCCTCCCTGGGAGGATCTTACACACGGACGCCATCTTAGTTAAAGGTTAAACTTGCCCTCTTGAGAGCACAAGAAAGGCCCAAGGTCACTAAAAGGGCAGCATTTACTCAGGACAATGGTCAGGAACAAACACCAAATGTGAACATTCCAGTTAAGAGAGAGAGATGATTCCTGTAAAGATTAACCATAGCCCTACACTTTGTTATGGAAATGGCATTCCTGTAGAGATGAACCACAGCTCTGTACTTTGTCACAGCCTCGTCCTGCGCAAACTATATATTCTGTTCCCTTCTTCTAACCACCGCATTTCGCTTCTGTAACTTTGCTTGCTTCCGCCCCCATCTAGAACTGTATAAAACCCTCTTGTACTCTGGCCTCAGGGTACTCTCCAAGTGGTTTCTTGGAGGGGCCATCTGGCCAGACTAATAAAGGTCTGTTTAACACCATGCTTGGGTGTGGCTCCTTTGGTTCTTCTCTCTCGCTGTCACTGTTCTTCAGACCGTTTGGTTAAGGCCCCTGGTGGTTTTACAGTTTTGTCCCACCTCAGGCCCACTTTGTAAATTAACATAGAGTCTTATAATTTTGTCCCATTTTGTGCCCACCTTACCACATGGCTTTGCTGTATAAAACATCTTTGAAACATAGGGTGGGTGGGCAACCCACTTTCCGGTCCCCCTTCTGTCTTTCTCAGAAGCTTTCTTTCTCTCAATAAATTCTTCCTACTCTTTGTTTTTTGTTTTTTGTTTTTTTTTGAGACAGGTTCTCACTATGTAGTTGAGACTGACCTGGAACTCACTGTGTAGCCCAGGCTGGTGTCCAACTCAACAGTGATCCTCCTGCCTCAGGCTCCCAAGTGCTGGGATTAAAGGCATGCACCACCATGCCCAGCAATTCTTCCTACTCTTAACCTCCATTGTTCCTAGAATTCATTCTTTGATTTTAGAGAACAAGAATTTAGGCCGGGTGTGGTGGTGCACGCCTGTAATCCTAGCACTCGGGAGGCTGAGACAGGAGGATCGCTATGAGTTTGAGACCAGCCTGGGCTACATAGTGAGTTCCAGGTCAGTCTCAGCTACACAGTGAAACGCTGCCTCAATAAATAAATAAATAAAATAGAGAACAAGAACTCACACTTCGGATATGTAGTAGGTTTGGGAGTTGCATCTCTCCCCCCTGTTATCACCACAACATCTAGGAATGACATCGTGAACCAGAGGTAGAAGTTGGGAGAGTCTTGTTGGAAACACCAAGAGAAGATTAGCTCCTGGATCCCCAATGGGGTGGCCAGTTTTCCTGGGCACAGACTCAGTTTGCAGGATGGAAGACATTTCAACCCCAAAGAAAGTTGGGAGTTTTGATGGTTATTCTGGCCAGAACGCAATAATTGCTGCACTGAGACCCATAAAGAAAAAGAGGACATTTTGTATGGTCCAAAAGTGGCAGAAGTCACTGACAGGATTTTCACCTCAGGGAGGAGCCCCAGGGCACTAGGGGAAAAGGGTAAGAAAAGCAATTTTTCTTCTGACCCTAGAGCAATAAAAGTGTGGGGGGGGTGTTCAAGGAGCTGCAGCCCTCTAATTATGTAGTTATCCTCACACATAAGTAGGACATGATGGTGAGGCAGTGTGAATCAGAGCAGCAGCTGAAGACCGTTTTCCTCCTTTCTGGCCAATGCTCTCTGTGCTAGCAATTGCTTGGAGAAGGAATTGGTTCTGACTCCTTCACCCCTCCCAGAAAGCATTCACTTTTCTAGGAATTCACAATACAGCATGTTCTATGCCAGGCTATTTTAAGGAATTGGTATGATGAAATTCTCAGTACTGTAAACAAGGTGCACTCACTTGAGGTCACAACTCTGTTTTGTTCCATATCCCTGACTAGATGAAGTACAGGGTCCTTAGGAAAGAAAGGAAAGAGTGTTCTTCCGTAAGAGTGGGCTGCATTTGCCAGAGAATGTTCAACAGGAAGCTGCTCCTAGAGCCCAGGCACAAGCCTGCTGCGGGCCAGGTCCCAGGAGTGCTGGGGCTGGTGTTGTTAGTTATTTACCCTTGGGTACATGAAGCAATAGCTCGAGGCTCCTCTGTGAGGAGACTGTAGGGCACACTGGGTGGAGTAGCTAGTCTGGTGACTGGGACTGGTGTGTCCAACAGCCTTATTGCTGTGTGGCCCCTGTCACAGTACCAGTGCACAATTGCACAACCATGTAGTGGCCATGGGGCAAGGGCATGACAGTCCGCAGAAACCAGGACTGGGCAGCTCAAGCTGGCTGTGTCACTAGGAAAGCTGCTCTCTCCTCTTTGCTTCCAGACCCCATCTCTGTTAGAGACCTGACGCCGCCATCACAGGCTGTGTTCTCCGGGTTCTTCTTGCCTCTTAAAATGACCTCATGCTCTTATCTTTAGTTTCCCTCCCCCCAAGGCCACAGCTGTCCAGAAGAGTCAAACCTAAAGTTCTGCAGGACTAAACCCATAAAAGACAACCTGGCCTGTGATAGGTTAAAAGTAGCCCACTCCTCATAAATAAACAATAGCCCAGCCCCAAAACAATAAAAGGACCTTCCTTTCTTTGCTCTTTTCTTCTGCCCTCTCTCCTCTCTCCCTAACCTGCCTTCCCTGATGTCTCCTTTTGGACCTCTTGGTGTGTGTGCCAGTTGTTGACTGTTGCTGTGCTTCTACTATCTCCAAGCTGAGGATTGTGACTACAAAAATCCACCCTCCAGGCTTCTGAAGATTCTAAATAATTACAAATGTAGAACATTTGAGCTGGGTATTGTGAGTGCACATATGTAATCCCATCACTCAGGAGGCTGAGACAGGAGGATTGCTGCAAGTTTGAAGCCAGCTTGGGCTACATGGTAAGTTCAAGACCAGACTGAACTACACATTGAGACCCTGTATTAAAAGAAAACAAAAGCCCTCAGGCTGGGTATTTGGCTCAGTGGTTTTGCTGTCCGCCTTGCAAGCATGAGGACCCGAGTTCTATCTCTGGTACAAAAAAAAAAAAAAAAAAAAAAAAAAAAAAAAGAGAGGGGAAAAAAAAAAAAAAAAAAAACATAAATGTGGCACTTGACAAATTGCCTCATCTGGGGGGGGGCATTTCTACCCACAAATTTTTTTTTTTTTTTTTTTTTTTTTTTTTTTTTTTTTTTTGACACAGGGTTTCTCTATGTAGTTCACACTGACCTGGAGCTCACTATGTAGCCCAGGCTGGTCTTGAACTCACAGCAATCCTCCTGTCTCAGCCTCTGGAGTGCAAAGCTTCTTTTCTATGCTGTCTTTTATTTTATTTCTTTTTATTGAGTTTATTGGTACAATCTAGGTATACAATACAGTTACATTCATCATTGGGATTCTGTACCTTAATATAATAGGTCTTGATTCTCATTTTTTCCTCTTCTTCCTGCCCTACCTTCACCCCCTCCTCCCCTCCCCATTTACAAACACTTTGTTTCCATTGTTTCAGTTTCTCATATATTTTTCCTCTCCCTTATTACCTTTCCCCCACCCTTCCCACTTTCCCTACACCTTTAACCCTTTACTTCCTATTTCACATTATTAATTATCTCATTAGGATCCTGTGTACTATTGTAGTTTTTTGCATCAAAGAAACTATTTGGTATTTCAGTTAAAGAAATCTCTGTATGAACATTAAAAATAGGGAACCCTAAAATAAAACTAAAATGAAAGTAAAAGAGAAAAGACAATGATGTAACATTAAAATAAACCTTAATTCTGGAGATGAAAATGGTCCCCGACCATATTTAAATTGTTTCTTGCTCTTATAGTCTTATTCTTTTTTTCATTATTTAGAGAATACTTTATTAGTTTCTGTAATCAAACCCACATAGATATGACCTTACATATTTAGTAGGATGTGTTACCCCTGTACACATGGAAAAAAAAATAAATTAATATTTCTAGACCAATATGGCTGTCCATTTCTGTACAATGCCAACTCAACACAGTAAATTGGGATGACTTTTTGCAAAATTGGCAGCACCATTAAAGTTTCCCAAAATTCAATATATATATATAAAGACTAATAATAGCAGTATGTTATGCATCTATAGCAGCAGCAGCTTTTCCAGGTTCTGCAGTCATCTGAACAAAATTATAGACATTCAGCACATTCCATTAAAAAAACAAAACAAAACAAAAAGAAACAAAGAAAAAAATAATATCCAGAAAACAGCAAAATTCTGTTGCTGTTGTGGTACCTGGCACCATTTTTTTTATTAGCATCTTAATCATCATCTGGAAAGAGAACATTCTAGAGTAATGTCATTAAATGTAGCTCTGATAAAGCACGGT